TATGTATACTATATTGTATGGATAATATGTGAAATAAAAATTATATTAAACCATGAATTATTCAATATCGAAATAATTGGGTATGTGATATAAATTGGTGATGTGATGTTTTTTTGGGGGATAAAATTCAACTTCTGAGCTATCCTATTATCAAACATCATATTGCTGTAGTTGCTTCAAGTTCTCTAAATTGCAATTTTGTTGTCATCTAGCAATGGGTAAGCTTGTCTCACATTTCACCTAGTTTATTGATCCTTGTTTCTTTCTTTTTATTTTCTACCGTATTTCGTGTATATTTGATAGCTCCATCTTACCACAGCATGTAACATATATGTATGAATGTATCATACACATATTCACACACACAGACACACACACACACACACACACACACAGCTCTACTTGTTTATGATTGGAATTCAAAAACAACTCTACTTTATTATATAGATATAGATGCATAGCAAGAATCTAACCCCCATGCCTAGCAACACCTGCATAGTAATAACGCAATAGTCTCTCTCTCTTTCTCACACACACACACAAGCACACACTAACCCCCATCCTACCCCCATATCTTCTCTGCCCTCTTCTACTCAACATCACCCAACACTTCTCTCGCTCACACACAATCACATTGCACACGCACACCCACAGCGCACAATACACACATACATACTCACCACCCACACACAAATCGCACACACACAAACAAACCCAGCACACACACCCAACACAGACCCAGTATACACGCACCCACATCACACACACTCACACCCACTCACCCACTCACCCAGAAACAAACACCCACACCCACTCACCCACTCACCCACACACACATCACAAACAGACCCACCCACACCAATTGCTTGTTGGAATGACCGAGATAAATTTTGTGTAATTTCCTGTGTACCTATTTTTTTTTGGGTATAATGTGTTGAATTTTAATTGATTTACACTTTGTTTGATTTAGCTTATAATGTGTTGAATTAGCTTATATTCAATCTAATTAGCTTAAGTGATTTTTGAAGTTTAGAAATCAAGGTCTTTCCTATACTGGATGCCTCTTTTCTCCTTTCTAGAAAATGCAAAAACTCAATTCGGTTTCTGTAGCTTTCTGCAATCAAAATGGTTATTGATGGGGACTAAATATTGATTTTGTTTTCCAATCTAAGAATTATGTTTTCCAATCTTTTAGCAGAAATGATCATTTTCGACTTCAGCTAGAGAGAGAGGTGGGTATGTTTAATTTGCTGTGGGTCGTGAAAGGGGGAGAGGGAGGTACCTGGGCTGAGCTTGGTGAGCCGCTGTGTGCCGCTGTGTTGAACGCCGTTGGTGTCGCTGCTGTGTTGATCGCCACTGTGTGCCGCTGCTGAGCCGGTGTCGCTGCTGCTGAGCCGTTGTGAGAAGGGTGTGGGTAGAGGGGTAAGGGGTCTGGGTTGCTGTCTGGGGTGAGGCATGGCAGAGGAAATGGGTATGTAGGGAAATGGGTGAGGCATGGCGGGAGACAGAGAGTAGCTGTGTAGGGGAATGGGTTTGATTTGAGGCAGAGAGTAAGTACCTGTAGGCGTGTGGATCAAAATGGGCGGGATTTTTTTTTTGGGTTGAGATGCATTGCAAGCCATTGGATTGAAATGAAAGAAATGAGATGAAAATGTGGGTCTTTGAATTAAAAGTGAATTTAATCTGAGCCATTTTTATACTTTTCCAAATAAATTAAATTTTAAAATAAAAAAAAATTCAAAATGAGCCCTATCTTATCAGTAAAGATACTCATAAAATTATATGCTTACGTCCGTAAAATAAAAGTCTACCGTACCATATCCAAACCCACGGCACACTTAACAGAAGAAAANACTCATAAAATTATATGCTTACGTCCGCAAAATAAAAGTCTACCGTACCATATCCAAACCCACGGCACACTTAACAGAAGAAAATTCAAAGACTGCGCACTGATAGAGAGAGAGAAAGAGAACCGTGGAAATGTCCATGGCCTAGGGTTTGTGTTACAGTGTTTCACGTAAATCTCGTCGTCTTAGCCATGGGCAGAAAGCTGTTATACTTTCTTCTGTGCATCATCTTTCGGCTTCGCCTCTCTCTCTCAGGTCAGTAATTTTATTTGAACTTCTCATATTCTTTTTTTGTTCCACTCAATCATGATGCTTTCTTTTAGTGCGTTTAGGTTTTATACCCTGTCTGGTTGCTGAGAAAGCGGAGTACTGTGATATTATAACGAAAAAGAAAATTTTAAGAGTCTTGGGCAATTTCTTTTTGTGGGTTTTTTTTTTCTTTTCCTGCTAAACAAAGACCGCAATTCAAGTCAAAGAGCCCCCAATTTTTGTTTGATTGGATCATTACATAATGAGAAATCCTCCACTTAAATGCGGGGGAAAAAAGCAAATTTATGATCACTTGTAGAGCTTTATTTCTTCTAGGAAGCCTAATTAGGCAACTATTGATTTGGAAATATTGATGAAAAAGCATGCTGGATAACGTTGTTGATGCTACCGTACAATGTATGGTAGGTATTCAAATACATGTCTGAATTTTTTTTTTTTGGGGGTAAATACCTGTCTGACGTTTGTGATTAAATGTTTAAAGCCAAAGATCATTACCCAGTTTGGTCAGTGTTAACAAGGGCAATGTGAGGAGTGGATTAGGTGCAAACTGCCTTTAGTATTTTTTGTACAAAATTGGTACTGGCCTCATATATTAACCCATTTCACAGTTTTTAGCATGAAGTTTGTACCACTTCCACTAGGCAGTGACCGCTAGTAAGCTTTTGAAGTTGTAAGAAGGAAGAATATATATTTCACAATGTATGGATGAGTACTCACCTAATTCTTCGTTTGGTACGGTGGACAAATGGATGGGTGGAAGGTTGGAAAGATGGAAAGTTAGAAAGACAGATAAAATATCATATTTGGTGAGGAAGAAAAATAAGATGGATAGAAAAGTGGAAGGATGAACTTTTCTTCTAACTCATCAAAATTAATCTCTCTAAATTTAGATGAAAAAGTGGATGAAAAGTTAATTATGTGTATTAAAATGAATGTTATTATCTATATATCATTTGATATATACATATATATCATATTCATCAATTACATATTATGTATGCATTAATTTTATATATAGATATATATAATGGTAAAATATATATTTATATATTTGTTTAAAAATAAAACATAATTTTTTTAAAAAAAAAAATAAAAAATAAAAATATTTTTTCCATCTTACCAAACACAAAAAAAATCAATCTTTTTTACTTTCTATTCGTATTACGAAACACAAAGAAGGGAAGTAATGATTCCTCCCTTGAAAGCTAGAAAATAAATCTCTTATTTTTCATCCTTCTATTTTTCCATTCACCTTACCAATTGGACTATAAGTGACAGGGATGTGTTTTAGAGGGGTTGTATTCATAGAGTATTCATAGGATACTGTTACTAATTGGATACGAATTATACAAATGTTTTTAGAAAAGATGAATTTGCTGCTTTTGATTGGGTGCTAGTCTATTGGAAAGAGAAGTGAATCATATGTACTGGACGAGGATCTAGAGGTTGAATACACTTTACAATAGTACATTTTTCCTGGAATATTTTATTGCATCATTTACGTCGTTGTGCACAAAAGTTGGGATGCATTTTGGCAATGAGAAAGAAACTGAAATTTTTGAACCAGGGTTCTGATTACATAGTTGTGGGTCTCCAGTCTCCACTGTTGGTCTCTTTTATGCTTCTATTGGGAGAGTCTCTTTTGTTTTTGGCAACCACGGGTAACTTTCTAAGTGCTCCAGATCTATCTTTTTCAGATAAATATGCTTTTCCTGCTTAGTTGGAAGCTTAATGTTGTTCATGATTTGTGCTCAATCATGTGTTTTGTGACTATAATTGCCTTTTCTTATTTTTGTCATATGACTCATATTGTTGATTTTGTATAGGATTTGAAAATTTAATTAATTTTTGGCAGATATAGGACAGGTGAAACAGTTGGAGTCTGTTCCTGATCTTGAGAAGTTAATGTACATGGTTGTTGATGGATATCCTTGTGTACGACTACTCAGCCTTTCAGGGGAGATTGGCTGTTCAAGTAAGAAATCTAAGCCCGATATTGCATTGAACCCCAACTTTGCTCAAGCTATCAATTCAGACATTGCTCCTGTCCTTATAACGTTAATGAATTTGTTTACTCAGATCCTGGACGTGACAAAGTTGTTGCTCCGATTGTAAGATTCAAGAATGCNATCCCAACTTTGCTCAAGCTATCAATTCAGACATTGCTCCTGTCCTTATAACGTTAATGAATTTGTATACTCAGATCCTGGACGTGACAAAGTTGTTGCTCCGATTGTAAGATTCAAGAATGCTAATGAGTTGGCTCGTTCATCAGCAATACTGGTGTCATTAGATGAATTTGACAGCTTATTTTTAAGGTATGCATATTTTTTATCGTCTGACTTAGGTTTTTCTTATTCTTAAACAATTCTGTGTTTACATGAATTTTTTGTCCTTTCCTCCATACTTTAGGGTTTGAGTTGCATTGGCTATACATTCTTCAACCTCTCCGACCATGTGTTATTTTTTTTTGCCTTTCCCAAGATTTTGTGGTGATATTTATTATGGGGTGAGTGTTCGTATTGAGTGGGTAGCCTTGGTCAAGGTGAGGCATGCAATAAAAAATTAGGAATCTTTTTATATGGCCAAGTTCGGAGCATCCCTACGGAGGAATATGTTTCTTCAAAGATCCTGTGCTTTCTTTCACTCCAAGCTGCCCAAATATGTCTGCCATACGATAGCCCTATAGGGTATTGCCACTCTGACTTTCCCAAAACCTCAAAATGGAAATAACAAGAGACTTATGTCCCTTGGAGCTGCCCATAGGTATTTAAAGTCTCTGGCAGTCCCAAAGTGACTGGACATCTGAGCAAAATTGCAGTTGGAAGTTTCATTGCACCTTTTGGCTATCATATAAAAAAGGATAGGCTCAAGGCTTTATGTTGATTCCTAGTGTTTAGCATATACTATTTTATGTGTTTTTAAGATGTAAGCCGACTTAAGGCCTTAGCCAAGTTTAACAGAAAATGAGGAGAAGGTGGGGGGGGGGGGATCATTGACCAAAGACAAGAAGATCTTCGCTAGGTACTACAAACATTATATGTCGCATTGAGGCCAATAAGGTAACTAGAATTGTCAACTCAAAATTGGAAATTTTACGAATGATTGAAATATCATTTTCTCAGTCAATTCTTAAGCACAAAGAGCAGCTTTGTAGTTTCCATAGATAACTCCCTTAAGCCTTCAGTATAGGTATGTGTCTATCTAGCCCCCAATAGTTTCAAGCATTTGCCAGAAACTTTTGATTGTAAAAACAATTGGGAGGCATTCCTTTTTCTTCTTTTAAGGCAAGATAAAAAGGTTGTAGATGAGAAAGATCCATAAGAATTCAGTCACCCACCAACATCTTTCCTCTTATGGGAGGAAAATAAAATTTTGCCATGGTGAATTAAATTCACCCAAGGCCAAGATAAATACATTTTTGGTTCAAACTCTCAATGTGTTATCAACTTATCATTGACCAAGAGGCAAGAATCAAAATATCGTTTTGAAACGATCGAAACACCCGAAACGTTTTCATTTCCAAGGAGACCGAAACGAATCAGTGATGGAATCGAAATTCTAATACTTCGAAGTGTTCTATAATGTTTTGAAATGTTTTGTTATATTTCAATGTATTTGTACAATTATTTTGGAATGTTTCAATGTATTTCAAGATATTTTAGTATGTTTCGACCGATGTTTTAAAAAAATAATTCTTAAATTTTTTATTTTTTTCATTATGTTTTCGAAACGGGTCAAAATGTTTTTGAAACATGTCGAAACGTTTCCGTTTCTTAGGTGACCGAAACAATGCACCGAAACAAAATTTTGATCCTTGCCAAGGGGGAGGTTTTCATTCCTTGTCCACACTTTTTCTTTCCAATATTTTCCCGGCCATAGGATCACATTTATTCTTCCCATGTTATCTATTCCATGCATATTTTAGCATTTATATGGCTGATGCATGTGGAAAATAATGTTTTCCGTGTCAACATTTGGTGATGCGATTTGCTTTGTGTTAGCAATGCTAAAATTTGGTTTCTGTTTCAGAGTATCTAATGACTCAGATTTTGCTCGGAATATAGCTGGTGTTTTAGTTGAATCAGGAACTATGAGTATGAATCAATTAAAAGGTAACAATGAAGTTACATAAAAATCCTCTGTACAACATTAGGCTAGTGAAGAACAGTTTGCTGGAAGCTATGTAGTGTGACTATTTCCCTTTGCAGGATTGTCTCCAGATAAAAAGTTTCCACAAGCTGAGTTTGCTCCTTACCAAAGCAATGACTTTGAATGGAACCCAACTGTAAGTCATGAACTAATATAGGTATAATGAATCATTGAGTTTTGGATAACCAATCAAGATTTGTCTGACATATTATATATTGTCTTTTTGTTGTTTCAAATATGTTTGGTTGAAAACAGGTGAGACAGGAAATATAAAGCAAAATGAACTGTTTCAATTTTAAGTTTTAAACCAAACAATTTTAAGACGGTAATAGATGGCCTTGCATGGCAATTGGTGAGGATTGTGTAAGGAATGTGATGAAAGTATGGCTTACTTGTTCCTTCTCCATCGCATAGCTATTTTCTTGAGTGCCTTAGGTGTGGGTCACACCTTGTGGCGTTGTCTCTATCTGTGGTGGGTTTTGATGGTTTTGGGAGCATTAAAAATGCTTCTACGCTATGGAGATGTGTAATTTGGCCTTTTAGGTGGTGTGGATGGACAGAAACTACACAATATCTGAGGTAAGGAGGAAGAGATGGAGTGGATATGGGATAGAATAAAGTTTTTGACATCTCTTTGCCTGGTGGTAGCTAATGAGTAATGAGTTTCGTGACACTCCTGTATCGGTTCTTCAACACAATTGAAAAGTTGTTTGCAGTTGATAGCCCTTTTTCTTAGTTTATTTATTTTTTGCTCTTTTTGGGTGGATTTCTTATCCGCTATTATATAGATTTATATATTTCTAAGGAGTGAAAGTTTTGTTTCTTTAAAAAAAAGAGAGAAAAGGACCTGATAAAAACAGACTTGATGACAGTTTAAACATTTGCATGTCACTTTTGTCCTGGTAGAGTGTTAAATGCGGCTTTTGATTGGCAGGCCTTAAATTATTACTATTAAAGTTTGTTCCTAGCTGAGTTTTACCAATATGAAACGGATATAACGTTGGGTTACGTCATAGAAGATTAATAAGCACCTATTTAGAAAAAAGGGTGGTGCTGTTGACTTGATCGCTCGACCATATGAATAGGGTATATATCTTTTGCTTTGCATTTCTTGGATTTACAGGTTGGCGTGGCAGATTATTAGCAATTTTTATTGTTGTTTTGAAAGAGAGAAGAAGGGGGGGGGGACTTAAACTTATTGGTTATGGCTACTGTGGAAGAAAAATTACCACAAATTAGTCAAAATGTTTCGAGTGTTTAATGGTTGGGTAGGAGCTGATCCTTTTTTTGTTATTGTATAATGTATCTGCTTCTTACATGGAATAGTACTGCATTTTGGATTAGGGAACTCCAGTTTATGTTCTATTAAAGGAACTAAAGCATCATCACATACCATTTGCAGGGATCTGGTATTCTGTGGAAATCTTATGGTTTTCCTGTATTCTTACTTTCTCAGAGTAATACTTCAACTTTGCTGGAGGTAAATTGCCTGTCGTTTTCCCTTTTTATAATTTCCCTCTCATGGTTAACTGTTGCAAAAAAGTTCTCATTTTTATGGTGAAGTGGACTTTCTTTTGATTCTTGAAGTTTGAGAAATAGGACATAGAAGCTCCTCAAAGAATTGATGTCACTGTATTTCCAGTTAATCTAATTAGGTCAAGTCATTCGCACAGCCATAATTTTCTGACCACTTTCTTGAGTAAATTTCTGAAAATGACTTTATGGTGTAGCAATACGTCATTATCCTGTCTTGGATGGAGCAGGATGGGGCAAAGGTCCTGTTACTGGTCTGACCTGCACAATTGTATATGCTCAGATTACAAGAGTGCTATTGATATAGTTATGCAAACCTCTTGTTGCCTAAGTAACTTAATGGACATGGAATATGAGGGTTAATTGATGTTTATACCACATTTCAACAAGTGTCTTACTAAAATTTCAACCAGAGGAGGCACTAATCATTGGATCCAACCTGTGCCTGTTATTTGCCCTTAATGTATGCATGGCCTTTCATGAGTCAGTGCACCTCTATGGATTTCAGTCATCAGAGCTTGGTTTTTGCATTTCTTCTGTTAAGAAACGAATTATTTCTCATACATGCAGGTTGCCATGAAGAATGAAAAGAGCAAGAAAGGTTATACTGAAGATGTGGCTGAATTTGATCTTGTCATGCAGGTACATGTTTCTGCTGGTGCATTTTGATAAGTTCGGCATCTGGCACTACTTTTAACTGAACCTTCTAGAGTCATTCTGAGTTTCTACTTACTGCTCAATGTTACACATGATCCTGATTTTTATTAGACAACAAAAGCTGGAACTCATGATTCAAAGTCTTGTTTGAAAGAAAACACTTGCCTTCCATTGGGTGGATACAGGTGAGTGTGTTTTCTAATTTTACTCCTATGTATGATCGATGTGTTTAGTGGATATATACAGGTAACTTACGGTTGTTATGTCTTGGAGTTAGTTGATTTTGAGTGGTACATCCATCAGGGTGGTGATTCAGGTTTTGTGTGGGTTCAAACATTCACTCTCCCTTCTTTTACATACATTTTGTTCCTATGATCCTATCTCAAATTTCCCTGGAACATAATGCAGATTGAATACTTTGAATGTTAGCTACTTGGTCTATCACCTTGGTACTGGTGTGCCACATAGTCAGATCACAGATGCATTTTACTACCTTCTTCCACAGTGCATGTCCTATTCACTCTTTCCATTTACAATGTTGGCTGACCTGTGGAATGAAATTAGGCTCTGGGTAACAGTTAAGACCATATGTAATCTTTCATCCACTTCTTCGGAAGAAAACCGATGGTGTTAATCACTATTTTTGCAATCAGTTAGTACATCTTTAAAATTTATAATTAAAACTGAATCTGAACACTTTTACTACATTTAGTGGCGTGATCAAAATATTGATATTGTTGTTTGTTCATTATAGTCGTGCTATTTTTGTAGTT